ACGATGCGAGTATTCCGCAAGTGCTCTTTGATTATCCGAGTGTCGATATATTTATATATTATAATTAAGTTGGTTAGCGTGTAAATTATAATACATTTTCATAGTAGTTATATTGGTATTCTATCTAAATATATAAAAGAAGAAACTGACAGACTGACATATCAACGCACCGCCCACAACGCTGAGTCTAGCTAAAGACTCCAAATTCGGCACATAGGTTCCTCATAAAGTCTAGGGGTGCATTAGGAAACAATTTGTCAAAATTCACTCCATAGGGTTTAAAATGCCCCCCCCATTTTCAACTAAAACTTTCAAGTTTGTAAGAAAAATCTTATTCCTTGTATTAATAAACTTGAAACTTGCTACGAATACTTATCAAAATTAAATATAAAGTTTTTTATTTTTAGTTTTCCTAAATACAAGATTGAAAATTGGGAAGGTGTCAAAGTTTTTATATGGATGATTTTAACGCGCACTTCGTTCGATTAACTCGAAACACAGTATTTATATTTGAGGTCCCACTTATTCTAATTTCGTTTAAAGTTTGTAAGTTTGTAAGTTTGTAACTCAATCACGCAAGAACTACTGAACGGATTTGGATAAAATTTGCTAAGCATTAAGTTTATGACCTGGCTTGAGACATAGGATACTCTTTATCCAAAAAAAATGAAAGGTTTCTAAGGGATCCTCTGAAAATTAAAGTTAATGAGGACGAAGTCGCGGACGGCCGCTGCTAATATTATAAATGTGAATGTTTGTTAATCAATCACGCAAAAACTACTGAACGGATTTGGATGAAACTTAGTGAACCTATAGTTATGGGAAAAACATAGACATTATGGGAAAAAATATTAGGTTCCTGAGTCACACTCAAAAAACAAATGTTAACGCGGAAGAAGCCGCGGGCGGTCGCTAGTTAAGAATAAAAAGAAGAGATTGCTGTCGAATTTAGTTTCAAGTTTAGACCGTCAACTTTACTTTCTCGAGAATCACACAGGCATCAATATGGCCCCTATTATAATGCCCTATATGTGGGTCCCACCAATTTCCCAGAACAGAGACAATAATTGTTATTATTCACTTGCTACGCTACGATCCAGACACACCTGTTTCACATTAATTTCATATTCGACGAATTTCCTCAACATTTATTGCAGAAGTTCTATTTTTGTTAGCCGAATAACATAAGGATGAAAGCGGGAATCTCGAAATATACAATCTATGTATTTCCCACTGTATTCATATTTAAAATGGTATAGAAACTAACTTTCTTGTTTTATTTGTGCCAATGCGTTTCATAACCAGAACAGGGATAAACGATAAATAAAACATCAACCGTATCACTAGCATACACAATAGGTAGCGATTCTGGCATGGCTATTATGGAACTTTATACTTTCGCATACGGTTTAAATTGACATGTTACACGCTCCAGATATGTACATAAGTAATCAATTTAATACTTTAAATTTGAACAGATAACGCGTAACTTTTTCAATGTTTTGATTTTTCATGTTTTTTAAAGGCAAATTTTCATGTTTTTATGTCCAACTACAGAACTTACAAAATCGATATAAGTTAAACAACATAAAAGTGTCAGTAAATTATTGCAACTTTTTTTACACACTATCAGGCAAAGAATCCCGCCTCTCCTTCAGTATAGTGAGTGTTGATTGATTTTAAGTTCCCTGTAAATTTTCGGGACACTGAGCATTAGGGCGGGCAGTCATGTATAAAAACGTAAGGGGACCTTCAGCATCGGTAAGGTAGCACGTTTATTTGTTTGCTACCCCCTCATATTACTAATGCAATATTGTTTTTTTTTTCTGCCGGGAAACTACATTACAAAATGGCCGCACACAAACTTATATGCATACTAGCTCCCGCCCCCGACCGCGTTATCTTTAGTTTTTCTAAAGATAACGCGAAAATGATATAAAGAATCATGTCTCTATACAGAAAATACAGGGTGAAATTGAATGTTTTAATGAAACTTCGTGGGAATGTTGGGTTACGTATATAGAGTATCTCTGAATTTTTTCGGATTTTTTAAAAAATGATTTAAAATAAAATTTTGTTTTTTTTTTGTTATATTTTAAGTCCTTTCCTCCTTTTGGGTACTAAATAATTATTCTTTTAAAACATGCATACAGAGTAAGTAAAAAACAAGTAATAAGCACTACTAAAAAAGACGTAAAAACAGGAGACGGGCGGCCGGGAGCAATGACCGCTCCCGCCGTTGAATACCTTCCTGCCTACCTATCTAGGTATGCGCGGTGCACAGCGCAGTGAGCGAGCGGAGTCTCAAGCGCGCGTGCGTATCTTTTAAATTTGTGACAAGACAAGATTTGCAAATAATGCCTTGATTAGTTCTTGTTCTGTGCCCTCAATATAAGAATTTGGATATGGTGTGTTGTTATTGCGAGTGTCACGGAATACTCAGCAGAGCCACAAGGCTTTACGAAAGTAGGTTTGGTGATTTATTGGGAAGTTATAGAGAAAAAAAATAATAGGTACATCGGTCTCGTAAGTACTTTTGAATACCTGGTAATAAATTTCATTCTGACCCAAGTATTGAACTGCAATAAGTATTTCTTTTTGTTTAACTTTTGCCTATTTCCAATCGTGACAAAATCATTATTAACTTTTTAAGTTTTTCTCTGCTTAAGAGAAGATGACATTTGTGCTTATTATTTCAATTTCAATAAAAGCATCTGAGACGATTTTATTGTATTATGTGGAATCAAACGAGTCAGCTGAGCTCTGTGTACGTACCTACTCACTCAACGGCTGGCGGGCGCGGTCGGTCGTTGACCCGCGGTGGAATTTTACTGGTTTTCCGTTTTTTAGAAGTGCTTATTTATTAGTTGTTTTTCACTGGATATGTAAGCATGTTTGTTTAATATGAATAACTACTCAAAAGGAGGAAAGGACAAAAAAATACACAAATTATAAATAAATACATGAAAAAAATACTTCAAAAAAATCCGAAAAAAATCAGGCATACTCTATACTCGTAACCCAACAATCTCACGAAGTTTCATTAAAACATTCAATTTCACCCTATATAGTGCGCCAAATTTCATCGAAATCCGTTCAGTCGTTTCCGCGTGATTGCGTAACAAACATACACACTTTTAGATTGATAAAATTATTATTAGTAGGATTAACCCATAAGTACCTTCTTTAAAGTTTACAATTAACTTGAAATAAACGTACCGCCGCAAAGAGCTAATTAATGTAATGGATGGGGTTAATTTTTATTTAAAATTAATAAGATAAGAAGAGGGGATTTTGGTTTAGGTATCTTAAATAAACAGTCGCTAAAATGTAAGCCTTATCCCAAACCCCTAAGGGTTCGTGTAGGTACTGACTTCATTTTATGAACCCCTTGCTTTATAGAAATGCTTTGCCGTGCTTGAATTGCGAAATAACTTTTTAATCTTAAATACGCACGCTAATGTAAAATGTATAATATTTTAAAAGTACATAAAAAAAGATACAATAATGATAAAACCGGTTTGTATGACTATTTACAAGAAAGTAGTTTCAGAATCATATTTTTTTTAGGAAGATTTAACTGTAATGATAGATTTTGCATAAACATTTACGATGTCTGTCTTTCCGCATTTTTTTATTATTATTTAGTTTGGGTCTTTTATCCTGATATGTAGAATTGTAGATTTTAAAACTATCACAGAACATTTGATGCTAGTTTAACAACCCGATATCTATTTGGAAGAAATTAAAAATTACACACACATTTCGCCTCAATGGACATTGCACTATTTGCAGAGTGAACCGGGAAAGTTTTTACTGCGCTCATCTACATGAAGCCATAAATTTGCATCTTGCTTCAAAATATGAAGAGCTAGTATATAAGTATCAGCTGTTTTCCATTATAACTAAGAAATTTATAGGGCAAGCAAGGTAAACGACATTTTTACGATCCAAATGCTTCATCTTTGTCCACTAGGTGGACCTAGTGTGCCGTGTTGCCCTTTGCAGCCTGCCGCGCTGTTTTAAGCTAGCCAGTATATGCTCTATTTTTTTCTGTCCAGCGTTTAGCGTCATTAATTTGAAGCTATGATAGTGATTTTGTACTTTAAAATTTAGGACATTAAAATGATAATATACCTTTTAGGTAAATTATTAAAAGATTCATCGAGTTAAGTAGGTCTATGTGTAACAGTGTACAATCATCACAATCTTCGTCGACGTCACACAATATTAACTGATCGCGTAATTGCGATAAGATGAGTAGTCGATAAAGCCAAGGCAACATTTTTGTTTTTACCATCGAATTTATCGCTTTAACACTTAAGAAGTACCGAGTACTTCTGGATTTTTATACACGCGATTTATTATTGATTTGATTTATTATCAAGTGTTATCTGTAGCTAACCGGTTGTTTTTGAAGATTTTCAGAAAGTCACATAAAAATGTTGTAAGTAGCTTAGCTAGACAAGAACAAATTAATAACAGATTTTCCGCACTGAAAAAACCTGTCTGGAGAAGTATCCGGAAGACTTAAAAGATGATGAATAACATCCCGTAGTTTCGTATACTTGAAATAACGTTATCCGATCTTCATAAAAAGGGAAGGAGCTTTATGGTTCAAAAAGGTTAGGGCTAATGTAAATTCGGGAAACTGATCTTGTTCCTAATTAATCTTTATAAACATTTAACATCAGATGAGTTGAAGTAACTTAGTACATCTTTCAAGGAAATGTATCTTTATGTTAGCTAAGGAACATAACACACTACATCTATCTGCATATTAGCAAACCAAATACTTTCCGCACCTGCAGTGCCTTCAACATGGGCACTTTGTCGAACAGATCTTTGTACAAGTTGCGCTTCTTGAAGGCGCTCTTGAGTAGGATGCGGCGGAAAGTGTGATGATCCATGGCCAGTAGAGCGCCCGGGCTTTGATCTATGTTAGTTAGGGATAACACTCTTTATGTAGAAATGTTAGTTAAGGATATTACTCCACGTACCTGCAGTGCCTTTAGCATGGGCACTTTGTCCAGTAGCTCTTCGTACAACTTGCGCTTCTTGAAGGCGCTCTTGAGTAGGATGCGACGGAAGGTGTGACGGTCCATGGCCCACAGAGCACCCGGGCTCTGCGCCCGTACAGACGCAGCGCGGGGCATATTGTACATAAGCGCCAGTTCGCCGAATGAACCGGAGCCCTCGTATGTGTGTACCACCTGATGTGACATATCAGCCTATTAATGTCCCCACTGCAGGGGCACAGGTCTTGCCTATGGATGGAATAGGGAGATGGGCCGTGACCCACCACTCGGGCCCTTCCGGATTGGTGGGTGCTAACGACTGCAGACGCAACCGGGGCCAACGGCTTAACGTGCCTTTCGAAGAATGGAAGACATCGAGATAATTAGTTTTTGGTCACCCATCCAATGACCGATCATTGCGAAAGTCGTTTAATATCCACGAGCACAGGACGAACGCGCTAACCACCTGCGCCATCGGGCTCCTCTTATGTGTCATTTCTTTCTTGGTATATACAACATACCAAAATATACCTGCAATGTCGAATTACGAAATGAATTTCTGCCTAACTAAATAAAATCTTTTGTGTTGGCTCTGTCCATAATCATAAGTACGATAATTGTATGAAAAACTATTTGAAAAAAAAGCACATTTACTTCCTCAAGTAGTAAGTTATTTAACTCAAGTATGTTCTTTATCAACGGATAAAGTGCATACTTGAGTGGCTAGTAAATAGTAAATCTCTGTCAACTCACAACAATTACTTTTCTCAAACTAATCGGAGCTTATAGTATGGTTAATAATTATTTAAAATAACTACTGGGGAACATATGTTCAAGAGCTCATCGGACAAGCATGTGATCGTACCAGGATTCTAATCAAAAGAACCTTTAGATTTGGCTATTAGATTTCAGAAAATGAATTTCTCAGGCTTTGATTCTATTTACGTCTACATAGAGCAATCCAAATAAATCACGCAAAGAAAACGGCTCATGTTTCGAGCAATGTGAATCTAATGTCAGATTGTACCAGAGCAGTCAGTGAGCGTGTGTGCGACCTGCATATCTACCGTATGCAGTAAATATTTTTTGTGCCGCTTCCGTGCAGTTAATACGGTACAGGTCGCGGCACGTAACTCTAGCGCTGAAGAAAACGCGGAGGTGATAGCTGCGCATGGGAACGACTGGAGCGCCAATTGGACAAGACATCTTAATTTTTACTTCTGCCTTAGATTAAAACAAAAAGGGAAGATACGGCACTCGCGGCTTAAAAGTGATGCGCTAAAATTTAGGTGTATGACCATAATTCGCTTTAGTCATAATTGGACATTCAAACACGCTGCATGTGCACTCAATATAACAATTATGCGTATATTCTGAGTAATGAAGATAAAACAATGTCTTCGATGCTTTTGTAAAGAAAACAAATAGTTCAAAATCAAATAACAAAAGCCTCGGCAACACTTTTCATTCGTAAAACTGTAAAAACATTTTATTCTCAAAAATCCCGGTTTGTCGTGAATGTTATATATGTAATCGTCATTTTGCATCAAGAAAAGAACAGCAATACGCTGCAGTTGCAGCGTATAGTTGTTTCGCTCGCTCGATTGCATGTTTATATGTATACGACGTGTGCGTGTGTGAGAGTTGCTTATGTAGTTGAGTCGGATCATATTTTATTTGATGCTAGTATGAGCGTACCGTATCCACCCTTTTTCTTTTAATCTAAAACTTCTGCGCATAACGGTCTGTGTATATAATCAAAGTTCTCAGGTGAGTGAAATTCAAAACTAGAATAATGATTCACATTTGTTTTAAATTCAAGTCAATGTTTGTTTACCTTTTCAACGCGGTCGTCCCCGGTGACTAGTACATCGAAGACCCCGTTCTCGATGACGTAGAAGTTGTCGCCGTCGTCGCCCTGGCGGATCACGTACTCGCCGGGCTCGGCGCGCTTCTCGAACATCGCGTCCAACACCTGACCCAATATTATAATCACCGTTATTGTAACTCTTTAGAGATGAACTCGATACATTTGTATGTTTGCATGGATATAAGGTTTATACGTGATCGAATCAGGAATAAGGAAATCCGTAGAAGAACTAGTGATATTGGTCACTAGTTCAATGGATCGCCAAGCTGAAGTGGCAACAGGTGGGGCACATTATTCGGCTTCCATGGTGCCTTCGCACTGAAAAGCGTAGTGTTGGTAGACCCTTCACCAGGTGACGACATTAAGTGAGTCGGGGGGACCCAATGAATGCGGAAAGCGCATAACTTATATTTGGAAGTCCCTAGAGGAGGTCAATGTCCAGCAGCGGATGTCCATCGGCTGATTATGATGAATATAAAGGTTTATAAATCATGTAGGGGCAATTCTCCACCTTACAGAAGCGTGCCGCCAAAACACACTACTGTTTTCAAACAAACAATCTAAAACTCGAAGCCGGAGTAACGACGTTAGACTGTGTTGTCGTTGTTGAAGCCATTGACAGCCCTCATTCTTGTGTGAGTTAGTTTTCCATCCTTTCCTTTTGTAAGCGATGATGTGATAAAAAAGCGTACCACTGTTTTCATGAACAGAGTATAGTCTTATTATATTTATTTCTTATGTTTTCATACACACAAATCATATAATAAAACACTGTTTAAAATGGGTATAAAATAATGGCTTGAGTTGATTGACTTTTTTGAGTATTCCTGCATTTGAATCAGGTTGTTGGAACTATAGGTGAGAGCACATTCACATATCTTCACTACATCGGCTGCCCATCTTACATCGTGGGACGGAGTAATTGACTGTACCTTGTATGAAGAGAAAGAAACACGGACAAGCGCGAGTCGGACTCGCCCACCGAGGGTTCCGTGAAAATACGGAACTACCTGCTGCATCTACTAAGATTCGAGGAATTTTGTATAAAAATGGAGTGTTATAAGGCTGATGAAGCGGAAAAACGGATAAATATTAACCAATAGGATTGCACTCCTCTTCAGTAGACAAATTTTATGCAATCCTATTGATTAATATTTCTAAGTTTCTCCGCTCCGCAGCCTCGCTCAGCTCAGCAGCCAGTGGACAGGCAGCCTAGAGAAAAGAATACCTGCTGCATCTGCTGAGCATCCAGTGAGCGGAACAGCAAGATACCGCGTACCGCCTCAGCGAGCCGGGCGCGCTGTGCGTCCGACTTGGGGAACACCACGGGCGCCCCCTCGTCCGAGTCATCTTCCTCGGGGTCGTAAGTCTCCGCAAACACGGACTTACGACGGTTGTTGAAGCGCGCCACCGGCGGCTCTGTTTGAGGAGACGTCGAGATTATCTATACTTATATTAAAAATGGAAAGATTTGTAAGTTTGCGACAAATAAACTCAAACACTGCTGGACTGATCTCAAGATCTATTTCACCATTTGAATGCTTCATTATTCCTGATTAACACATGCTATTTTTCATCGCGATAAAATAATGTTCAACCATGCAATGTTGATAACTATAATTATCATTAAGCAATTCTATGATGTGTGCTGATTCTGATTATAAATGAATAGATAATAAAGCATTTTTCAGTGAATAAATTTTTACATGTGGACACAATCAGTTTTTTTTATATATTAATTGCACAACTTAGTAACATTTACCAAAGAAAATACATGTGGGCATTGGAGCTTTTAAAACATGTATCATGATTAACTATGGAATTTGACTTAATGATGTTTATACTTATGACATTACTACAGTAAAAAGACCCTTAAAAAGTTAAGAAGACCCTCAGTATTCAATTGAGATGATTGCAAGTCCAAGGATGCAATCTTACACCAGTCCAAGTATAAGACAGAACTGTGTTATTATACATGTAGAAAAAACAAACTATTGCCGGCATTTGTAACAAGGTTACTGGTGAGAAATAAAACCAGCACCATTAGAGTACAAAGTTGAGTGAGTATTCAATCAATGGTCATGTGAAACAGCTTTCACTTTACTTGAATCAAGTACTTATGCACTACACACATGTTGGTGCTAGTCATAGATCGCAGTTTTTATTAACTTTATACAATATATTCTAACTAATATTGAAGTAATTCTAACAATATTAAAATGTAATTTATCTCATTGTTGATGGAGTCAATATATTTCAAAGATGTTGATAAGTATTTACTTACTGAGAATTCACATGGAAAGTGTACTAATGATCATTTGTTTACAATTGTAAAAAAATGAGAATTCGTTTTTATCCCCTCTGAAACTCTTCCCTGATATTTGTTGAAATTAAAATAGTAATTTTTATGAATTTTGTTAACTATTCCATCAGTCATTAATAATAAAGAAACTATCACTTAGTTTAATTAAAATTAAACCACCTGGCTATTTGGACTGGATTAAAATAAGTAAATAACCATTTTATCTACATTAATATATTATTATGGTGTGTAAATGTTGGCAGACTTTAAATAATCCTAACTAATATTATAAATGCAAAAGTGAGTTTATATATTACTCAATCATTCAAAAATGGCTGGTACGGATTTGGATGAAATTAGGCACACAAATAGTTTATTACCTGGATTGAGACATAGGGTATGTTTAATCCCAAAAAAATTTTGGGTTCCTGAGGGATACTTAAAAAACTAAAGTTAATGTGGACAAAGTTATGGGTGGCCCCTAGTAAATAAATACACAGCACTTACACATACAATATTGTTTTCCTTCCTTTAACCCTGACTGCAGGAGATTATCAACTAATAAAGAACTTCTACACTAGAATAAGAGCAACTTAGCAAGACAAGTGTATGAAAAAAATCACAAAGCCACTTTTCAAATTGAGTCATTAACTAGCAAATGTGTGCTGTAATGATTTTGCCATGTGAATACTTATCTTTTAACAATGAAACAGAACATCTCTCTTAAACAAACACAGCTCAAGGCCTATTACCACCTGTATTTTTATTGTACTGATCGGAATTGAGTATACTAAGCAAGTTTTAGGTAATACATGTTTATAAGAAAAGGCAACATAATAATATGGTACAGTTAGTTAGAGTCTGTTGTGTAATTGGGAAAAAGATAATTTTGTCAACATAACACAACTTCAAAGCAATAAAACAAACACAACTGGTCTCAGTGTTTAAGAACTCTGAAAATTTATGCCAGGACAAACATTCCTATGTGAATTTACATTCTTTCTTTATAGTTCAAAATAAAAGCTTTTTAGTTCTTTGAATTTTGGATTCACCATATATAATAATATTTAAGATATGAAATGCATTGATGAAGTGTAAAATCAATCATTCTAAGACTTTAGGTTTTCTAAATAACATAAATGCCTCGTCTATTTTCTTACAGCACTTGGCAACAGTCAACAATATTCTGCAAAAACTTGTATAATAATGTAAATAAAGTTATATCATAGAAACTGTAATGGCAACATGCCAAATATCGAAAGATTACTACTGTTGGCTATAGTGAAACATTCATAAATATTTTTATCAAGATTATATTTGGAGAGATCTAAAAATATAAGATTTGACAGATATACCTGCTGGCCAGTTTCTTTTCAATGTTATTATAGAGCAACTCAAGTACCACACTAAACATGAGTATGAGACATTTTGATGCCTAGTATTTTGTATTTATAAGTATAGAAAAGTAGGTCAACCTTGAGTTTGAAAATATTCTTGATGGGAAGTAATTATGAATTGTTTTATCATTCTAATATAATGCTTCGGTTGGGTTGCTTGCAGTTTAATGAAAATGTCCAATTTAATTACTTAAATTAAAGGGTCATCCAGTGTGAGTTTATGAGAACTGTTATTGTCCAGTGTTATGAACATTTCTGTAGGGTGCAATTTCAATGCCATGCAATCGCGCGTGAACTATGGAACTAAGTACCTAGATATGGAAATAACTCATTCATATGAATATGATGTTACCCTAGCACTATGGCGTCAACTAAACCCACCTTTCAGTCAGCCTGAGTCAAAATTCTCGTGACTGTGTGTCTAAGGAATATAAAATGGACTAGTACCTTCTTCATCTGATATTATAGACTCATCGGGCGTGCCGGCGGCTGGTCCCCTCACTATGGTGGTCGTCCTGTTGCTTTGTAACCTTGTGAAGAACTCAACCGCGTAGTTGATCACGTCTCCCGGTTGCTCCAAAAGGTAACTTATAGTGAACTCCAGTAATATCTCTCTAAGGTCATCCGGGACTTGTATGCGTCCGCCTTGAGGCCTGCTCATTTCTAACGGCGTCGCCACACTTTATTGATATTATCCGATTTGGAGAACGTCAAAGCGACACGTTAAATTACAATTTCAATATCATAGCCATCGAATTAGCTAAAGCGACACACCAACGAGCAACCTTACGATGGAGAAGTAGCACTACATACAAACGTTAGTAAGAAATAAAACCACACTATTATACTAAGAACTTTCCAAAGAACAATCCCGGCTACGATAAATTAAATATAATGACACACTTTTTTCAATATAATCGTCGTCCTCCAGCCTGACAAATATAAAATCTCCCTTCACTAAAGTAAAAATGGCGAATTTTTGATTTGTCCTACTTTGACTCACTTCACTTCACTCATTTTCAAATTATTGCCATAGAAAAAAACAAATCATAGACTAAGCAAATAAATGACAATCGATCATGATGACGGAGGATACAGATAAAAATATAAGTCATAATCCAAGAAGCTTATATACAACACTGGAGATTGCAGTGCAAACAATACCTTGAAGTGAAAAAATGTGGCCTTGAATGACGTCACATATGTTTGTTATCTCTTTCTAAGGGTGACCATGTTGGAATATACGTTTAGGATTCATACTTACTGGTATCGTCTTTAAAAAATTAATAAATCAAAACGTAGGAGTAGGATAGGAACTTGGGAACACAGTATGCAATAGTAATAAAAATCACAAGTACAAAAATCATTTTATTCATATTAGATGCGTTTCATCTTATACAATGTCAAAAACGTTTATAAAAAAAAAATTAACGAGAAAGAATATGGAAACCCTTTTTAAAACCGCCGCAACTTTTAATTTGACGAAACTGTATGAAACAAAATAGGGGGGAAAAAGCAGCCCTTGCTGAGTTTCTTGCCCGTTCTTCTCAGTACAAGGTCTCCCGCCGTAGTTTTGCGAACATTCACATCTGCTTGTAAAAGCCTAATGAAATGAAATGAAATGAAAAGTCATTTATTCAGTCTAGGCTGTTACAAGCACTTGTGAAGGTCAAGAAGCTACGCCATCGGTTCGCAAAACTACGGCGGCAGACCTTGTACTGAGAAGAACCGGCAAGAAACTCAGCAAGGGCTGCTTTTTTCTCCCTGTATTGATATATACAGAGTCGTCAAGTTGAAAAATGATTTCAGAGATACATCTGAAGTCACCTTCCATTACATTATTAAGGATATAGATATATAGTTACAATAAATTTTATATTTAGTATATAGGAAGCGGCATTAGATAGGTACCATATTACTGTTTCAAAAACTGACTCATACCCATCAAATAACAAATTACAAGAAACACTATGTCCATGCATTTCGATCATTTAGATAATCATTAACTTTATAATAGCCCTTATTCATAAGAGTATTCTTAATCTGAGATTTAAATTTGGTTAGTGGAAGCTCAATCAGATCTTGGGGAACTTTGTTAAACAATGCAATACTACATCCCAGAAATGAACCTCTTGATTTTTGGAGTCTGAAACATGGAACGGCAAGTTTGTTATTATATCTCGTGTTAAAGTTATGGGTTTGACTTTTTTTTGTAAATGCGTCATAGTTTTTTCTTACATATACTAAATTTTCATAAATGTATTGCGATGCCAGTGTTAAAATATTAATTTCTTTAAATTTTTCTCTAAGAGATTCTCTTGCCTTTAAATTATATATGGCGCGAACAGCTCTCTTTTGCAGTACGAAAATACTTCCTATATTAGCAGCTGAGCCCCACAACAAAAGGCCATATGACATAACGCTATGAAAGTAACCAAAGTAAACCAATCTTGCCGTTTCCACATCAGTTAGAAGTCTTATTTTTTTAACAGCAAAAGCCGCAGAGCTCAGTCTACTTGATAAGGCATCAATATGAGGATCCCATTGCAAATGCGAGTCTAAAGTAATACCCAGAAACTTTGTAGAATCCACTAACTCTATAGGCTGGTCATTTATTTTTAAACTAGTATTAACCTGCCTCACATTAGGTAAAGTAAACTTAACACATTTTGTTTTACTAGAGTTTAGTTTTAAATTATTTACCGTAAACCAGTGAAGGACTTCAGAGAGAGCACAATTTACTTCGTCATAACAATCATTTCCTCTCCTAGCTTTAAACACTAAAGAGGTGTCATCAGCAAATAGTACTGTCTCACACAAATCTCTTGTAAAGTGAGGAAGGTCATTAATATAAATAAGGAAAAGCAATGGGCCCAATATTGAACCCTGGGGCACGCCCATAGAAATGGGTGCTCCTGTAGACTCAGCTTGATTTATAACCACTTTCTGAATCCTAGCAGAAAGATAAGACTGTATCAGACTTAGTGAAATATTTGATACACCATAATGCTTCATTTTATTTAACAATGTTTCATGGCTAACGCAGTCAAACGCCTTAGATAAATCGCAAAAAATGCCAATAGCATCGTGCTTACTCTCCCATATATCAAAGATGTGTTTGAGAAGTGCAGTTCCAGCATCAGTAGTACTTTTGCCTCTAGTGAAACCAAACTGTTTTATATGAAGTAGCTTATTTATAGAAAAGTGTGCTAGTAATTGGTTATAAATTATTTTCTCAAATACTTTACTTAGCGCTGGTAATACAGATATAGGCCTAAAATTGCTGGGATCTGATTTGTCACCAGCCTTAAAGAGAGGGATAACTTTAGCACATTTCATTAGATCTGGAAACACTCCCTCATCAATACATTTGTTAAATATAATGGCCAGTTGTGGCGCAATGACAGTGATAATCGGTTTTATTATATATGTTGATATTCCCCAATAATCCTCTGTCGTTTTAATTTTAATTGAATTAAAAGTTTTTATAATACAATCACTACTGATATGTCTAAAATGAAAATCATTACTGCACTTATCAACACTTGACTCAAGGAGGGTCATTGCTAACCTAGAACAAGAATTAAGATTTATAGTTGTTTCAAATGGTGCACTAGAAAAGAAATTTTGAAAAGTGTTTGCAACGGCATCATCTGTCCTAATAATCTTATTGTCTATTTTTAAAGAATATGTGTGTTCATTAAATTTATTTCTTCCAGTTTCATTATTAATTATATTCCAAGTTGTCTTTATTTTATTATCGGAAAGACTAATTTTTTTAGATAAAAACTTAGACTTTGGTATGGCACACACCTTTTTAAAAGTTTTTGAATAGTTTTTGACATATTCTATAAACTTAGGATCAGATGAGGTTGCTAAACTGAATAAATAACTTTTGAATTTGAATAACCAAAAAGCAGGTGTTCATACATTTGAAAATAAGATTGTTTTGTGTAACCTTTGCCTTTTTGTTCGAATATCCCCAAGTAGTTTTTGAGAATTAGTTTTGAAGTATGACGATGTACGAATTTGCAAAAAATTATTTGCTATGTATTTTAAGAGTTCAGTTTCATGTAAGTCAGAGCAAATAATTGATTCAGTGATCGGATGTTTTGGAACAAATATATTCTGTAAAATGGGCTGAAACTTTTGCAAAGCAGCTATAACTAACTTCTTTTGGATGTTTGTAACTTGAAGTTGACCCGTCAAAGCGGCATGCTTAAAAAGTTGATCTGAATACACAACTATTTGGTAAACAGCATCTGAAGCAAAACATAACTTCCCGCGATTTACAAAAGATGTGAATGCTGAATATCGGTTCACATCTATGCAATAATCATGCTCATTATGATGTTTAGTGGTCAAAATATCATGACAATATGGACACGAGTTTTTCTGCAGAATTTTATTAACTACGAATCCTGCTATATAATAGAGGATATTTTGTTGGTAGGGACTCTGTTGCGGACTTTCTAAATGTCTCACCATGTCGCTGATAAAATCATTCCCGTTATTTTCATCAGCGTTCGACTTTTCAATTAAAGACCTAGTATTATTTCTAAAGTCAATAATATGGTTAGTATTGAATGTATCATCAACGCAATTAGCACTGATACTGGGTTGAACGGAATTGCGGAACAACATTTTTCTTAAAATATACCGAAACTCAAGAGGACTTGGGTTATCTTGAGTTCTACCCCTTGAACGAATAAGCGAAAAAAATATCTCCAAATTATCTTGAGAACACTTAAATGTAAGAAAGTATTTCAAGGGATTTTCAGGCAATGAAGTTAATACCTCAAAAAGGCTCTTTAAAGAAACTATATTCATTAGAAAACCCAGGGCAAAAGTTTTTCTAATATGTTGCATAATAGGTGTGGGGCCAATTTTCATACTTTTTAAATATTCTGTGCACTGGATAAAAAAGCTCTGCCACGCATCTTTATTATAGTGGGAAAGAGGAGATTTAAAATGTTTCGCAAATGGAGAACGACTGTTCATATTATCAAAAATTCTGTCCATAATTCTTATAAAATTTGTGGTAGCTTCGCTTCCATAAAAATTTGGATCTCCGCTATTGCGCAAGAAATCAATAGCATCAGCGACTGAGGAACTAAGCGTCTGCGCTGCTAGGCGCACATTCATTTTTTTATTTTGGTAGTTAACATGTGCACCTGTAACTTTATTAGCTAATTTTAGTCCTTCTTGTTCTTGAACCTTGTGAAGGTTATTTACAAATTTAAATGACACATCTCCATCTTTCGTAGTTAATGTGAAGTCTGAAAAGACATTTCTAGCTAGCTTTAACATATGTGCAGCATCTAATAAACAATATACATTGCTAACGCCATTTGGATGAAGGAAATACGGTTTGAAATCTTCATCAGTAAAACAGCAGCCCAAAGTTTCTAAAGATTTTATGTTACATCTAGCACCATCGCAAGTTATGGATCGCACCGTGATTCCAATCTCATTTAAAAGTATAAGTGCGGAGCGCGTTATCTGACCAAGTAGTTCACCAGATAAACTATTCGGAGTAAAAAAATAACCAATTGGGCATTTGAAATAGTTGGAGTACGAGACTATTTGGTAAACGAGAACTTCACAGGCCAACTGTTCAGGTTCACTTACAGGAATGTTTCCTAAATCAACATATCCAAAGAGTTTCCCTAATTTTGGTGCATACGCTATATCTTTTTTCAAGGACATTGAGTCAAAAATTAAAGCAACATTTTTTAAATGTGGCTTTTCTGGTAACTGTACCTTTAAATATTCTAAGACTTCGTTTAAAAAACCAACATCACAATTAAAAGACGAAATACTACGCCAAAGAGTTGTTGAGTGCGGCAATGAGATAATGGTTCTTAGGAATTCATATGCCCGTGGTGAATAAAAATGGACAGTCAAAGCAAATGCTTTTACTTCATCACTATATTTGATGACTTTTGATTTAGCATCGTGAATGTGATTAAAGGCTTTGCAAATGTTAGCGAAATTTCCCTGTAAAATGTTTTCTATTTCAGACTGACTTGTATAATTTCGTACAATTGCTA